ATGTGTAAAACGATTAACATGTAATAATAAATGAGAATAGCGTGACGATAAACACGTTTTAACAAATACATATATCAAAATAGCAAAGTTTAGAATACAAACATAGTGTGGTTTTATTTAATTGGTCTTTTAGTCAGTTATTTATTCAAGTGATTTTTCCACTGATCAGATTGAGTTAACTGAACGATGACCTCGCCTCATCTTAAAGGTTTATCTCAGTGGCTAGTCAGGAAAATTAATATCGCAGGAGAGAATACCAGAGAATATCGCAGGGGCGATCCTGGCGTGAAAGTAAATCTAGAGTGAGTGAGCACCTACGAAATTTCTCGAAGAAATACACTATATTACAGCCTAATCTATGCACTTGATTTTTTATCCCCTATAGGGAAAAATAAGAGTCTTATAAGTTTACAAGACCGTTTCTCTTTCTGTTATTTCCCGGAAATCATCGTCAAAGTCGCTTGAGTGAAGTGTTGCGCGAAAACTACTTGGAATCTGAAAACATCGAAAAAGTAAACAAAGAATTCCACCCAGAGCTTCTAGTGTACCAGCAGTGTAGAATGCATAGTTGTACGAGCCAGTGATATCGGCTATGAAACCTGTTAAGAAAGAGATGCAAACGTATGGTTATTGAATGATGATAGTCCTGGATGTTTTTGTGTATATGAACAAAATCTCCAAAGGTATTAATTGGTCTTGAATATTTTTTAGGAAAAATCTAGACACCAATAATCGTTAAAGCCAAAGGACTCGTTAAGTGAACCGCGCATATCAGCATATAAATTCGTGTTACTGAGCCTGGATAAGTATCTAATTGAGGAGTTTCTGCCTAATGAAGAACCCAACCCTCGATTTAAAAACAGTCTAAAACGTTGAAGGAGAYGWTACCTGACAAGATAGGACCAATTACATACGCAAGGCCACCAAAGAAYTGGGATAGTCCAAAACCGCCTCCCCTYTTCTTATCGGGAAGGCATTCGATAAAAATGCTTATGATTGCGATGGCATACAATCCGTCTCCGATACCATAAAAAATACAGTACAATACCAGCCATYGGTATTGTGGTACTGATGGCAATATATAATTTCCTATAGCAAGGATTAAAATCCCCAGTAGCGAAATATTTGGCAGTGTCAAGCATCCTTTTTTACCAAACTTGCTTACAAAGAGTCGTGTTACTGTTGATGAGATTCCAATAGTGAAGTACAACCACGATGAGAGGTTACTTGATATCCCGATGTCTTCACAAAACTTTGCCTGGAATAAAAGTAAGTTCACACTAATTGTTTTTACTAATTTACGCTGAATTTAAGATAGAGAAAATAATGAAAATTTAGGAAAAAACTTAAGCCCCCCCCAAGACWGGGAGCAGGTCGATGTCGGGGTGAAATAGACTTTTTTCCAATCTAATAGTGACATGCGGTCCTCACTAATCATAGTTTTGAAAACAGACCTACCAAATGAACAAATGGCATCTGATGGYCCATTGCCACAATAAAAGCAATTGAAGTAGCCAAGAGAAATGCTTTGACCTTAAAAGCAGCAAAGGAAACCATCTTTCTGCAGCTGCATTTTGACCTCATTATTGGTCTATCGTCCTCATCCGCTTCAATTTCCATTTCCACGATGTTCTTGTCCCGCATCAAACAGCCTACCAAGCCAGAAAACGCCGAGAAACTAGCTACAAACAGCATGGTTTTTCTCCATCCAAATCCCAAGTTTAACGTTTCTACAATTGGAGTCATGACTAATAACGCTGGAACATGTCCAGTTGTAACGACTGATGTTGCTTCGAATTTATACTTGTCGAAATATACAGGAACTGCTGTCATTGTACTAAAATAAAGAAAACAAATTCCAACGCCCAATAGTAATCCATAAGACAGCACTAATACAAAAATGACGGGTGCAAAGGACGATACGACTAGCCCTATAGCACAGCATACCACA